TCCTTCCAGTAAGTAAGAAAGAGAGCCACTGACTATTAGCTTGACAGTGAGTATGACAAACCGGTTACAAGTAAAATGTGTTTCAAAAAAGTTGTACTTGGCCTAAAGTCATTTCAAATGTCAGAACTAATGAGGAGGGTGACACAGAAGGCTATTCATCAATCAATGAATATCAGACTTTTATTTCTGATACCTGCTTCATTTGTCAGGTAACCAGTTTTTGCTGACAAAATAATAACGTGGAAATAGGTAGGATAGATAGATAGATTTATTAAACAGCGTTTTACTTTGTTTACATCCCTTGAGCCAGTTATTTTGGGTCTTTAGAGCATTTTTGAACTTGAAACTTTACCTTCAGGATCTAGAATAATGGTCCATAGACTATTGTGTTGATAATGTATTTGAGACGTCAATACAACATTTCAGATTAATACTTATTACGAAGCAGAGTGATAGTCGAAGATAAAACAGTGGAAAGGTTCGAACTACTGGCCACTGAGTTGGATCACTTCAACCGTCCGGACTTACACTTCGCCTTCAAGTATCACACAAAATCTCATCTCCCGAGCTATGGACATCTGCGATAGCCTCACTAATTATGTATTATTATTGGATTTCAGGAAACACGAAATTTGGTAGAAAAGAGAAGTAAAAATGGATAGTGGCTAGCAGTGGAATCCAGGATGTGCATTTCGTCCTCTTTGAAACTTGTCAGCTGGATGTACCTGCCTCCCAGTGAGTGATGTTGTTCCCACCGGGATTCAGGAGCTATCCCCTCAAACACCAGAGCGTTATCCACTACACCACCGATCCACGATAGCCACTCCTTATACGACGGAAATAGTTTTAGTGTTATCACTTGTATTATACCGATCAATTCAGTCCAATCAACGAAGGTATAATACAAGTGATAACACTAAAACTATATCCGTCGTACAAGAAGTGGCTATCGTGGATCGGTGGTGTAGTGGATAACGCTCTGTGGTTTGAGGGGATAGCTCCTGAATCCCGGTGGGAACAACATCACTCACTGGGAGGCAGGTACATCCAGCTGACAAGTTTCAAAGAGGACGAAATGCACATCCTGGATTCCACTGCTAGCCACTATCCATCATTACTACAACTAGAGCACAGGTATGTAGAGGCATCCACACGGGAGCCTATTTGCCAATAGAGACAGATCGATTCGGTCCAATCAACGACGGTATAATTGAAGCACACTTCTTCACTTCTTTATCCAGTGTAATGTTTTATAGGTTGTATTCAGTTCCTCTTTCCGTTGGCCATCCCTACACCGCACTGCACTAGTTCATCTCCTGCTTCACCATCTTCCTCTGCCTCCCTATCACCTTCCATGTGTCCATCGAGATGCATTTCTTGCCTTGTTTCCTCTTCCTTCCTAATACGGTCATGCAGGTTTCTTTCAACATCTCTTTCAGAGAGTTCCATTGTTCTTCCACACACGTTTCTTCAGGAGTGTTGCTCAAAGTTTCCAGTTTTGTTCTGGTGGCTGCTGTGAAGATGTCCTTTGTAGTTTCGTCCTACAGTTTGTGTTCTGGGTGTTCAACTTGAACTGCGATCTATCACCAACTTCTTTCAAGGCTTTCAACTTGATTTGGAAGGCAGGTTCCTTGAACTATGTAGTGAGTGGTGTGAACTTACACCTGCTCCCCTTCTTCATCTGATCTTGTGTCCACTAGGCTGGCTGCATCTCCACTTTACTCACATTGAGATGAAGTCGATCTGATTTTTAGTGTGTCCTGATGTCTGGTGAAGTCCATTTCGCTTTGTGAATATCCCTGTGTTTGTACACACTGCCTCCAATCACCAAATCGTTGGATGTGCAGAAATCTGGAAACACGTCTCCATTCTCGTTCATCATTTCACCGAGTGTCTCTCGACAGATCATGCATGAGTTCTCTCTCTTCCTGTGTTGTCCGCTCCCAGTTTGGCATCCATGTCACCCCACCCATTAGAATTTCGATGTCGCCAACTGGAGTTGGGTCTTGTGCAGTACTGATTGCAATTGTCTGTACAATTCCTCCTTCTTCTCTCCATCTGCATTATTTGTGGGTGCACAGCGTAGCATTGTATGATTGTAACTTTCCTTCCTTTTGATTTGAATCTTGTTATCATGATCCAGATGCTATAGGAGGAGATTGGTTCCGACTGCATGAAAGCCTTCGATGCTGTTGGGGGCGTTATGATAGCCACTCGAAAACTCAGTGTGCTGGTGGTTGTCATCTGGGTGACAATATCTGGGTAGATTATTGACTCCAATCCAGTTGACAGTTTTGAGACTCCACTTCCATTCAGTCTGCAGATTCCAAGCACTTCATGCCATATCTCGTCATCTTTTCCGCAATCTGGCAGCCTTAATAGGTTCATTCATGGTGCGGACATTGCATGTCCCCATCCTTTCTTTGGTTTAATGGAGAACGAGAAGACACATTGGCTGACTGGCTTCCCTAAGGCAGGCTTTCACCAATCGGCGTCATTTCGTGTCCCGTATTCCAGCGAGGAATAAGTTTGTTTTCATGCTTATACTTTCTTTGTGGGTTGAAGTTTCTTTAGCGATTGTATTGGTTTTATGGGGTATGGTTGCTAGCTATATTCCCACCCTCCCCTCTTTATCCAGGCTTAGGATCGGCTAGTAACTAGTGAAGTAGTTAACCAGGCGAGGTTAAGCTAAAGTTTTATACATGCGTAAATTAATTGGGATGTAATGATTTTTAAACCCCTGCTAATATCTACTTGATGTCGCATGTCAACTAAGTGTGAAAGTCTGGAGCTCTTTATTGTTCCATGATGCGTGGTGCTCGGAAATTCAACGATAGACCTGCTGCATTGTGACAGTTTATGGAAACATGAAACTTAGTATATTATCATAAGTTTCGGCTATTATTTCTTGTCATAAATTGACTTTTGTTTAATAACTGTTATTTGAAATGCATTACATGATGAACTTTGAAGAATATGACCGACTGCATTAAACTTTAACTGTTATTTATATTAGAAACGAGACCAGGGGCGCGCATTTTGTTGATAGTAATGATAAGTTATAAAAAATAAACACAATACAAAAAGGTTCTGAAGAAAAACTGTAAAAATGCTGAGGTAAGAACTTATGAAGATATTACTAGATTAAAATAAACTGAAATGCACTTTTTAAAAAGAACATCAAACGACAAACATAAGGCAACCGAATTTATGCAGACACTCATGACATTTGATAACTTCAAACCACAAGGACGCAGGACCTCAAGAAAGATTCAAAATCAGAAAGTATTAGCATATAGCCTACTTAAATGAAAGACTTGAGTTTAACTTTGATGCTAATTCCTCGGTGGTGACTGATAATGATATCCAAGACGAGCATTTCATCCTATTTGGGAGTCATTGGATGACTTAAACTGCATCTGGTTTTAAGTCACTCAGTCCATGGAGTGAAACTTTAGTTCAGGTGAGCACAGTTGAGACTTTAAACTCAGTTTGGGAATTCAGTCATTTGTAATATGTTCAAGTTTTCGCTTAGTTTGTTCTGTGTACTAATGCTCCGTGGTCTATACTTGCAAATATTAACTACTACTTCATGGTCTTGAACGCCAATTTAACGTGTAAAGCCACGTCTCATGACAATACCTCACTCATTTAGCATAGTTCGAGGTCCAGTATAGAAAAATGTACCAGAGTAATCGTATAAATAACATCTTTTGCCCGTTCTTTGAGCTTTCTGCATTACACTCTCACTACTAATTCGGAAAGCCACGACATTCATTCAGATCAGTAGGTCAACATAAATGAATTTTGAAATGAAAATGATAGGAACGGCAGTAGTTAGACTACTCGCAAGATCTTAGTCCTCTCCATTAAATACAATCTAGAAGAATGGTACTAGGTGGACTTGTGGGAAAATGCTAACAATGACAATACCGAAACATGGCATCGGCTCATGAAGTCTATGACTGTTGGTTTGCACTATGTAGGGAAAAGCAAACTTCCTGGGGGGGGGGTCGGTAGGTAACTTCAGATTTAGTCTGTGATGCAGACACGTCTATATATTACCTCCATCTAACTAGCAGTACCACAGTTTTTTGTTGTCTTACTCCCTCTTGGCATAACATTCTGCGAATTACGATGGCATTTTCTCTATCTTTCATCCTGATACACAGTATTTTGGTGTGGTAATTTAGGTCCTGGAAAATTGGACCATCGTTATGCAGCTATTCCAGGTCCTAAATTGATACTGACTAAGTGATTTGCGGAAATTGTTTAACACTGCGTTACATCAAATAAACTAATATAAAATCATACTCCTGGTCTAACTACAGAAATAATACAGTTACCATATATGCTCGTTTGTATAAAACTCCACAAAGTGAGGGAATCTATTAATATGTGTCTAAAACGAACAGCAAACGACATCGTAGTTACAGGAATTTGTGTGTTATAGCTCAAGCCTGTTGAATGTGACCAATATCTGTTTTAAGACTTATTGGATTATACACCTTATTTCATCCCCATGTCTTCATTCTTTCTACTCAGAATCTTCCAAGATAAAATTATTCATCTCCTTGATTTCTTCGCCAACTCTTTCTCTATTTTCTGAAACTACAGTAGCATGAACTACAATATCCTACAAACCTCAATGTTACCCTTATTGGCCATGAAGGTAGATAATGTAGCTGACAATATGCTTTCGACAACCACACCTGTTACCTATTCATGACGCCTTGTTGAGTGCCAACAAGTAGGAAACTTAGACTGAATTTTAGTATTTCAGTGTATATTCCAAACAGTCCCACTGATTCAAACGATTGCGCCTAAAGGGCAGACTATAATATCAGGCTGAACAATATCATCAGTGAACTGGAGGTATTCGCGATTGAAATTTAACTCCATAAGTTTGCTATAACCTACAGTTATCTCATTATTTCAGGAATAACCAGCCTGCACCGTAGGACATCTTCACGGCTATTATTTCAAAGGAACAAAAATACTCATCTTCATCAAATAACTCGATTCACGATTGAAAAAATATGTGAATAAACAAAGAATAGAGAAAGATTGGTCTTGAAAATCAGGTTATTAGTTAGGTTACAATGAAACAAAAACAGCACACTCACAGATACACACACGCACACACACAAAAGCGCAAATGTGCATAAAAAGTCACAAAAGACAAGTATATGAACCAAGAAAATAATGAAGAAATAGATACAAGAATATATAAACCCCAGTATTATGAAACAGTATATGTATCTCTATACGTATATATGCATACTATGAAGCTCAGATGTATTATTAAGTTAAAATAACATATATGCATGTTTCAGCGGGTGAACTCATAAGATTCAATTAAAACACAGAACCATGTATCTTGAGAAAACAAAAAAAAACAATCTAAAAAATTGAAGAATCACCATCTTCATTTTGTTAAACACGTCAGAAAGAAGTGAGCTGTGTAAATGCTTCCTTTTCACAAACTATTACAGATAAAGTGGAGGGAAGGGAAGGGATGTGATTTTACACGACAGAGTAGTCATTTACCAGATGATATTTCTACACAAAGAAAATACATCTGAATGAAACAGTAATAATCATCACTAGAGATATTGAGATGATGGTTGTAAAATTTTATTTCTTCACGAAAGATTAAAAGAATGGAATCATTTCAAAGATGTTTTTTCCATATCAATCAGCTACTAATACTACTACTCAAATCACTAACATATGAACATACATGCTGGCATAAACATAAACAAACATGAGTTTATATATACACAAACACGCATAAGGTGAAGATAAATCAAAGAAAAGTAAAAAGAGAGAGTAGTTACCAATTTATTCTTCTGCTTATTTAACTCTCTTAACTGATAGTAGCAAAAAATAAGTTATCATACTACTAGTCTTGGAATAAAGGCGGTCATGGTGAGAAAATAAAAAGTGATGGTCTTTACTAGAACAATGATTCGTTCACACGGTTTCAGGATCAACAACATCTTGTCGACCTGGTTAGATGACTGTATTTCAGTGATTACCTGTATTCTATAAGCTAGGAACACTGCTACTAATATTACTATGCTACTACTAATAAGTAGTAGTAGTAGTAGTAGTAGATGTGATAGTAGTATCTATTTGATAAAAGAGAATCTTTTTATTTGTGCATATAAACATGCAGCTGTTGGTAGTAATGCACAAAATTACTACTACTAATACCACTTATTAGTTTTCTTGAAAAAGACTAAAACGATAGAAAGGCAATAGAGAATAGGAAGAAAGGTTGAATAATAAATGAAAGCCCTTTGAGAAATATCATTTTCACAAACGAACGGATTAGAGAACAAAATGAAATGAAGCAACAATAGAACAGACAATACAGAAGGTGATGAATATCAGAAAGGTGAGGGGGAAGAGAAGACATCTCGTGAATAACAATTTTTCTAACGAAACAACTATCAATACACCGACACAAAGAAACATAAAAACGCGAGAAATACAATGAAATTGCTTAGCCAACAAAAATATTCAAAGGAAAAAGATCACGAAAGAAAAGCATCCTATCTTCACATTAACATTGCTATTGAGGAAAGGCATAGAAAGAAGAAAAACAGGCAACCAAATAATATGGTTTTATCAGGTAAAGTTGTAGTCATTAAAAGGCAAGAGATGGAGTTGAAACAACATTCAAAACACTTCAGTATATATCAGGACATTTTGACCAATCTTGTCGTTCTTTAGCCTGCCAATAATTCTCTAGATATGCATGATATACATTACCATTGACATCTTGTTTTGCTTCAAACCAAACTGGTGTGAATAATGGTTCATTTGTTTGACCTATGGAGAAAGAAGAACAAAGAAAGGATAAATGTTCATAGTTGATGGAGAAATAATTAATCTGATCTATTAAAATATACAAATTCCGTATTAGTTAATTGATTCTTTCTTCATTAATCCGTCACAATAAACAGAAGTGAAATCAAAGTATTCAATTCTCGCTGTGAGCAGATAGTCAATGTAAAAGAAGATTATATATGATTATGTGTAATTAGAATATAGGATCTCTTCCAAAGTAGGGCACATTTTTAATAGCAAAGCGGTCAACAATCTAACATTAGACTGGAAATGGAACTACGGCTTGATGGCTTAGACAAGTGACTTTCAAACAATGAGAGATGGGTTCAAACCCCACTTTGCCATTAGCCCTCACACAATAGATGTGGCTCATTGCCTACTGCACGAATAGGTACAATGTTGAGTGCTTTCCTCTCTCCTCTTTCGCCTGATGTTTAGCACTGTCTTGCCACTTGGTAACTTTCGTTGTCTTTTCAATCAAGAGAAAAATATATCCTGGTTGCGTTATTTTACTTCGCTCCAGTCAGTTATTCATGTAATCCATAACTGTTATAATAGATACAAGGAATGCTCTATCCAGTCAACCACGTTATACTGGAGAACAGATAACCAACCTACTAAGAGAGTCAAACAATGGGTCATTCATTTACTAAGCACCTACAAGTTGACCACCAGATGACTGATAGATTTAAACTTTATTCTGTCCATTCAAATTACGGCAATTATTTAGTATTACTAAAGATAATATAATAGGGATGGCAGATTGCAAAGTACATATACAAGTATCTTATTGTGATGTTGTTTATAAGGTCCCATCGTTGACTGGACCGAATTCATCGATATCTACTGGCATATCGGATGTCTCGATATTGCCTGTCAATTCGCTTTTTTTGTAAATGACGGCTAGAGGCTAACAGTGGAATCCAAGATACACGTTTCTTCCTATTTGGTAGTCGTCAGGTGGATGTATCTGCTTTACAGTGAGTGATGTTGTTACCACTAAGACTAATACCTTTGGGTGTAGGTTACCGACTGTCTATACCACTTCTTCCACTGCAAACTTAATATCACGTCAAGTTTCCTCAGGAAGAGCACTGGTGTCACGATCAGATAAATGCTTAGCTAACTCCACTCTGAATGCGTACTTGGCGTCCTCATCTATCAATAGAGCACAGACGGGCCTTACTATCTCCTGTTTCCTGAGACGAGTAAGGCATAGACATACACAAGCCTGTACTAGCACGTGATCGGAGTCCAAAGTGGTACTACAGAAAAAGCGCCAACCCTCCACTAATCCCTTTCAATGATAGCTTAAAGCAATGTGATCTATCTGTCTCCATCGTTGATTTGAAGTCGGAGGACGCCATATGAGATAGTCTCTCTCCTTATCCCTAAAGTTTGTGCTGGTGAGAAACAAGTGATTGCTGGGACAAAACTGCAACAGACAATCACTGTTGTTAGTTCGTTAGCATGGGATTCTGTACATACCTCCCAGATGCCTCTCCGGTTACCTCAGCTTCCCTAATGAGCATTAAAGTCAATTTCCATTATGATAAAAACTGAACGTTTGGCTTTCTGTAGCAAAATTGACAGCTCCTCGTGGAATTCATCCTTTGCATCATCCGAACTCTAGTCAGTGGGTGAGTAAGCAGAGATTACGAATAGGCACTGCCTACTTTCACTATCCTCCTCAGTTCTTACAGACCCATTCATTTGAACAGTACACAGAAGACTGCTCACTGGTATCCAGTCGAAAAGCGCACTCTCTGCCCTACAGCTCAATGTTACGCCTACATCATAGAGTCTATGAGAGTTATTGGGTCACCAGGTGAATTTTGGAGATTCATTACCATGGTCAGATGAAGTCAATTTAACAACCACATTCGGGTCCTGTACACGTGTCTCAGAGACTCAGCACATATCTATGGCAAGAGATGTCAGAGTTTTGGAAAGCGATGCTTGCTGTCCGATTTGGCATAGAGTTCGGACGTTGAGAGCTACTACATGAAGTGGCTGGCTGGGTCTTAGGATACTAGAAATCAAGTTACGATGACTTGGATCGTTGATAATGGTTGCAGAGTAAGGGGTTACGGAAGATGTAAGAGGCGTAATATAGGTATCAAGAGGTAAAAGGTAAAGAAGGAGACAGAGGTGAGGTCTTGTGTACTACCATTGGAGGCGTGTGAGTTGTTGACATTCCACGTCTGCCCGTATTGGGAAAAATATTACTTCAGAAGTTATTTGAAAGACGAAAAGATTTGTGTGACTGCACAGCCCATGGGACATCTGCCACACATGGCTTTTAGCAGGTTGTGTTTTAAGGTTTCTCTGTTCTAACACTAGGTAGGAGAAAAGCATACCGCCTACACCGGAAAACAGTGAACCAGAGTGGAGTGTTATTTTGGGAGCCAACCTTTTGAGATGACGCCTCCCTACAAGAAAGGTAGTATCAGTACGGTACTGCTGGTGTTATCCAAGAGAAACACTTTACTGCTATCGCACACCAGTCCAGTCACCAGTACAACTTCTCCTGGAGATCCCAATCATAGTGTAATAATTTACATTACAGCGGTAACTCCTTTTCGTCTTACCACTATCCTACAGACCTTTCTGGCATGGTAGGACCTCGAAGGAATAAGCGTTCCACCCTTACAGCTCATTGGGCCACTGTGATAAGCAAGCCTGATCACCACGTTAAGGTAGCAGCTATCAGCCAAGATAAAACTAAACAACTATTATCTTCATCCTGAGCAACAAATCTTCTCTACTATATCCAATACTGTCACGTGAGACTGATTTTCTGAAAACCGGTCTTTCAGAATATCACTGCATTTACTAAGCCGTATCCACACCTATGACTGATTGACCGAACTGAATAAAAGCTGAGATATCGCCCCTTTAATCATTAGTCTTTTCACTCCTCTCATCGTGCAACAGAAATAGGTAAACAGTCGATAAAAAGCTCTTAAGCTGAGCTACGCAAAAATGCTATTCATTAAGTCTTACACAAAATATCTTTTAAACTAATTATTGTTTGAATTTCTTGAATCTCTTCCTTCAGTTCACTATAGCAATATTGATCTTATGAAGGAGTTTAATACTCACAATTACTAACCAATACACTATCTGAATGTAATTCAAAAATGATGAAGTGGTAAATGAGTCGAAAATTCCCGTATTCGGCTAACGTAGGTAAGCGCACCATGGAAGTCTGTAAACTAAATAACCATGAACAACTAGTACACTGCTTCATTTTGTCAAAATTATTAGTAATTGGTTCATCTAGGAGTGGTGACATAATCTAAAAGTAGACATCTGCTCAAGATTCGAGAAAACTTTAATATGATTCCTCAACTTCGAGTTTAAAGCATTTCACAGGAGGATAGCTTCATGTTAAACGAAAAAAATCGACAATTGGAGCCATCTCGTATCTAAAACTAATATAAGCTACTCCATTTAACAGCGGCACTGATAAAAGTTCGGTTCCAGTTGTGACCAGTCAGGGGTTCGAACCTCAACCTGACAATTACGATGGGAGGGAGTAAATTAGCATGACTGGCCTTGGCACAACAAATACGGCCAACAGCTTAATGGGATGAAATATCAAGTAGCTTGAGAAGTGTACTGGACATTTTAACTTATTACTTCTATATACAAATCCTGACCAATCAGATTACACATCGTAGTATCCATATAACCTCGATCAATCAAAAAGAGAAAGGTGAGTTTTAATCCCTATATCGTTTACATCTTTTTGACACCTTAAATTGTTAATCTTTATCCTCATCACTACACATTAGCTCTCCAAAGTTTCAAATAAAAAAAGCTGGACGATAAGGCAGTGTAACTTGACCTCAACCAAGATATTGTGATCATAGTGAATTATCCCTGGCTTACATTCATTCAAAATGCGAGCGTGAATACATTATTTGTTTATGAGTAAAAACCAATAAATACTTATATCAGAAATAGACTAACTCACCTTCTCTAACCGCCTTCTCCCAAGCATGACGTTTATTTCTCTGTTTTACTTCAAGGCGTCGTTTTTCATCATTTGCTTGATCCCAGAAACCTTGTTCCATAAGGCGTTGGTCAGGTCTATGCCTCGAATCAGTCGGCGCAACACCTTCTTCCATTTCATTTAATTCAATGGCAAATTGTGAAAAGTAGTACATCTAGTTGAAAAGAGAAGACATAGAAATTAAGTAGAGGAAAAAATAAACTAATGATGGATAGTGGCTAGCAGTGGAAGCTAAGACGTACGTTACTCCTTGTTTGCGACACGCTAGCTCGATGGATCTGCTTTCCAGTGGGCGATTTTGTTCCCACTAAAACTCCAACTGAAGACCGATCACTTAAAATGGCAGAGAGTTATCCGTCTGGCCAATAAGTCACGATAGCCACTTCTTGTACGACAGTTAAAGTTTTAGGTTGTTACTTGTAGTGAATCGTCGTTGACTGTACACAATTGGTCGGTCTCCATTGGCATATGGGCTCTTGTGTCGATATCTCGACCTTGTATGTTTTTGCAGTTTTATAGTAATGATGAACAGTGACTGATAGTAGAATCTAGGACGCGCATTTCCCCCTATTTAGGACTCGTTAGGTGGATGTACCTGCCTCCCAATGGGCATCGAAACAGGAGCCCGTATGCCAGTAGAGACCGATTAATTCAGGTCAATCAACGACAGGATGATACTAGCAACAAAAGAAAAATACATAATTCATGAAACCACCTACAGGATTTTAACGTGGTATCTACAGTTTATCTTTTACAGACTGATGGATTTGATGAACTTTTAAATTCAGTAGGTGCTCATATCATATAAAATGTTCACATTAATCCAGCTATATCATTGATTCCTTAAATTCCTAAGTGCAGCAAGGTATCACATATCATCGGCATCTACAAATCTAAAGCATAACATGCACACTAACTTGGAAATACATTAGTCCTTATTTAACACGGCAGTTTTATTTTGAACATTGAATTTTAGGCATATTACTGTTATCATACATCATTCAGTTGATTTTGAATGTGTGAACTTTCACTGAACTGACACAAATGGGTTTGAAAACGTTCTTCATTTGTAACTTTATCATAATCATTAGGGTAAAAAACATATATGCAATCAAACATAGTAATCAGGATGTTTCAACTGACAACAATGTTAAGGTCAGGAGAAGGATACTAGGTAAGACAAAAAAGTCGATTGATGAGGTTATAAACCTTAGTCGAGTGAGATGGCTTCGACATATACTGCCCGTGTCCAGCCACCGCTCACCCCGTAGTGCAACATCAGGGGAAGTTGGATAAGGTGTCAAGAGGGTTGAGAGTGGTCAGATGAAGATACAGCACATGTGAATGAAGTCCCTGACTGATGGTGTGAGCCATGTGAGAAGATGTGGACTGTTTGGCTGGGGTCTTGAGATGATCAGAATGTGATTAAGAACTCCTGGTGACATGGTGGAAAATCCGTCACAGTGGCACAGATGCATTGGCTAACTGATGTTTTCTAAAGCTTGAATATTTGCATTAACCTTTATCGTAAAAATTAACCGTATACTGAATCATGCATTGGAATTTCCTTTACACTATTAGCAACAAAGCATACTATATCTTAGTGTAGTCCAAAACTGATAGGCACAGCTAGAATGCAAATGGTTCAAGTTTTGCTTAACGACTAGTTATTACTACACACGTATAACTGATATGAAACACCCTACACTAGTGTATCAAGAACACAGTAGTCGGGACATCTCAGCTGACCTTACTTTTAATTAAGCTCCAATCATAAGAATAGGTAGTGGCAAACAGATATAGAAGAAAGCAGAATTAAGAAAGGCTTTTAAGAAAAAGGAAAAATGACACGACTCAACATCAAACATAGAATTATTGAGCAACAGGATACTAAGATTTGCAAGAAAGAAATGACCTAAATGCATAAGTATTGTCGTGATCCATTGCCAACCGATGTCATTATACAATGTTTAAAGAATTATTTCCTGGTCTAGACGATCAATGAAGTTTCACTATAGCATTATAGCATGTTATTATTTTTAATGTGTCACTCTTTCTTGTTATTTTGTGACTGTATTTTACACCCCTCAGTTTGTTTCGGATACACAACATTTCTTAATTACTGTTTGTCTTCATTTCTTCTGCTTACTCCAGGCTTTCGTATTACATCTGTTCTCGATTATCATTTAAGCCTACTAGTGTTTCGACGTTTATTTTGTTATTGACACACTTGTACAGTACCTTGAAAGGTGCAATTATCACATAGACATCGCATTATCTGAGATCTGTTATCTCATTATTGTCATTCCTTAATACAGTATCGTAATATAGACAGATCTCATGTTTTGAGTGGAGTATTTAATTTTGAATTACTAGGTGAATTCCACACTTATTATTATTATTATTTGTCCCTTGGGTTCCTAGTGGAACAAAGGCTTCAGTAGCACGTCTCCAGTGCACTCTGTTCTCTGCAATCTTTTCAACCAGGCTCTACGACAGCCCACAAGCTCTCATTTCCTCCTCACACCATCTCCTCCATATCACCCTCGACACCGACGCCCAACTCGTCGTTTTTCATCTGGGTTCCACTCGAGGCCCTGACGCGTGATGTCCTTGTTGCCTATTCTTTCTGGCCATCTGAGCTTCAGTAATGAGCGTAGGCAATTGTTGATGAATTCCACACTGATATTCCAAAAATCAAACACTAGCTTTTAACAGACCATTTCTACTTTACTTAGACCATCGATCGACACCTGGCTTTTCGCCTGACATGATTTTATCTTCGTAATGAAGATAACACAGCTGATTCAAACGCAGTTATTTCTGATACGTTTGAAATATATGACTCCACCAAGTAGCTTGTTCAACTCATAGTATTTATAGAAGCTACAGGTTTTAAAACAGAAACCAACTGATATCGTCTGAGGCTTTATTTTAAGGTAAATAAGTTCAAGTAAGTGTCTTTGATAAAGCAAGAGTGATTTTGAATGAGACCACATTTAATAATGTTGTTAGGTATTAGGGATAAGACTGAAAAACTCATGTGACCAGTGATAAAACTTTAAGATATGTAACAAAACGTTTTTCAAACTTGTGTTAGCGATAGTCTACCGTAATCATCAAACCATGAGTGACGATTTCGTTGGTCATCTAAATCAATAAATATCAACAGACATTTTTGCGTAACGGTTCAAGTTGCCACACATCATATCAGGACAACCAGTAGGATGAATGGTGAAGAAAGAAAGAAGAGTCGGTCAAAAGTAATGTAGTAAAAGAGAGTAAGGGGAAAAAAGAAAACAGTGAGTTCACTATGACAATTAAGATGAGGATAATGAGTGGATACATCTGTACCACAGACATCTATTCCAAGCCGTATCACGAAGAGTCTCCTACCACTGGTTCCTGTTGTCACACGGAAAGCAACCAGCTAGTCTGAATCTCCCTACATGGCTCAAATCAACAGTCAAACATTTCATGCAGTGATGCTAACTTTTAGTCTGGTCGCTCCAGCCCATTTTCTAGCCAGAACGTACTTCAGCCAGCTTTGGGCGAAGAGGCAGACGGTGCCTAGGCATTTGTAATACATGTCCCAGCCACGTGAGTAGATGAAGGCTTACGATCTTATCAAGCGCCTTTCCTAACCTCCCTAAAACTGTACACGTGATATCTGCAACGGTGATCAAACACCAGAAGCCTTCTCATTTCTTCCACCATTAATGGGTGAATTTAAGATGCATAGTAGAATGTAGCGAACTATGGTGCAGTATACTCGGTCATTAATAGGCAAACGGATATCATAGCGGCAGCACAGATGGAGCAAGATGGTCACCTAACGGCAAACGTTATTTCATGAAGATAATTATGTCTTTAAAATAGTATCTGAACATCAATCAGATGTATCTACTGAGTGACATGTATAAATAAAACTTCTGTCTTAATACTTCCATACGCTCAAACAGCATCATCGGTATGAATTATAGTCCGATAAAGAAACTTATTTTTGACAACTGAAACATCGAACTGATTTCTGCTTATTATCGATTCAAAATGGATTCCCATAAATAACCTCATTTGCACCCTTATATTTATCAAATAGTTTAGTGAATGATAAAAACCTATAAAACTTATTCTTATTTATGCAACTATTACAATTATTTTGAATATCCAGAACAATCATTTTTCGATTTCGATAAATATTACGCAGCTTTCAGTGTTATCAACCAATGCAACGGTTAAGTTGTATAAAGACTCTCAGAAATTGGTTACGGGTGTTTAATTGAACCAATTAGTTACTTAAGGAACATAAACGCTATATGAATGATAGAGAATAATCTAGGAATTACACATACGAACAATATATGCAAGGGAATAATCACCAGCCAATAATAAACGACCTTGATCTAGCAATTCATCATTCTTATTGGTTCACTGATGCAGACTAGACAGCCTATTCCCCTTAAAATGTCAAGAGTTTGACTACATGCATTTTGAAGAATACATTTCCTTTGAATGAACTAGTAGGAAACACAGCTATATTGTTGACACAAATAAAGAAAAAACTCAACATTTAGAATTTTGGGTGATTGTTTTTTCGAAAAAATTGTCAAAGCTAGCCGCCAAAGAGAAAAACCAATAAGTTAACAAATGCATATAAAGTTGGTCGATCATTGCATTTAGGGAGTTTTCGGTTGTCTCCGAAAAAGAATGTCTGCGATTAAACAAAAAAAACTACCGGATTTGTAAGAAGATCTTTGCAGGTTGTTCGCCCAAATGGAAGTTGTCACCTTTATGTAAAGTACAACTGGTAGAACTATGAAATATCTCAGTGGAATTTTAAATCTTGCGAACAATTAACTAATTTTTTTCTTGAAGATTTTGTCAACTGGTGTGAGCTATGTAGGTAAATGTAGGCTTTGTGGTTAGAATCGAAGGCTGAAGATTCTAGGTGACACTGTTAAAAATCAGTTGCTATGATATTAATGTATTCACATATAATGTCTTAATTTAAATATTAAAATTCTTATAAGATTGATACTCATGCATTTTCTTCATCATCTTTCATTTTCATACGACTCTGTTTAGTGTTAAATAAGGAGTACACTTCCCACTGGCTTTCCGTCAATGTTAAAAATAACAACTGAGGTTCATATACAGTTCTTATGAATACTATATCATTTATATCTACCAGTTTCTTCTTAGGTTGGTAAGTTGTTCAAACGTATAAAAGATTTTTATTTAGTCTGAACATTTGCGGAGTAAAGAATTTCAAAGAGGCTTTCATAACGTATGGAAATCAGTCGGAGAACGATTGGAAACCTAGTACAACGACTAGACACCCATCTCATTCTGGTCTGGAACTCTAGATAAATGACCACCATGAGACTTAACAGTCCTGGGTTCGATCTTTCACGATGACGGGGGCGCTTTTTGTTAGGTCATAAAAATAAATGGTTCTGCGGATGATGAACGAAAACAAAACATACTCACTCGCCTTGTGCACATCCTTGTAATAAGCAAATGAGCCGTACCTACTGTTTGAGGGCTAATGATTCTACCTGTTGTTCAAACCTCAGTTGGTGGGGAGTGGAGCTCAAACCTGTGGCCGAATGGTTGATAACCTTCACCTTAAGCAACTGAGCCACAGCGGATGCTGAAAGTCTCTCTGAAGACGTAAAGGATTGATAATCATACAAAAAAACGAAGTCTATATACTAACACAAAACTTACATCTGATGCATTCGCAGGTAATGGATCACTTCTCCATATTACTTTTGGTTCACCAATCGGAACTTTATCAGTAGATACAAACTGATATTCGATATATTCATCCCATGTTCCTTGAATTATTGCAACTGGTGTACTGGATGAATTTTTGACAAAACCTGTAACCTAATTACGAGTGGGTAACAAAGAAGAATTTATAAAATCGGCTGTTTCAAGCTTGATTTTAACATTATTACGAGGTGAACCTAAGATTGTTAGAATTAGGAAACAGTAATACAGTGGATATAATTATGCATATCAAAAGTACCTATCAGATCTCTATTGAAAAGAGCCGAAGTTTACATGAAAATGTCAGTCAATGAAAACTATAGGAAAGAATCCGCGTACATGAATGAAACCTTATTATTATTATTATTATTATTATTATTATTATTATTATTATTATTATTATTAGTAGTAGTAGTAGTAGTAGTAGTATTAGTATTGGTATTATTAGAATACAAAAATGGTACAACAAGAGCACCAAGAAATATGCCACATAAAATAATATAACATTGTGGAGATATAAAGCGACAGGAAGTGGATAAAGAAAAAGGAAAAACACAATAACAATAATAATAGCATGATTAGAAAGGTAGTCGAATAAATTCAAAACAAGACATTGATTACTTTTCAGCAGTAGAAGATAGAAGGAAACTACAGCACGACCATCACTAGCTTTGATTTTGAGGCATATTTGATAATGTCACAAGTCACTGAGTTGCGTGATCTCACGAAATTTACCAAGGGAGTCGTAACGGACCAACAGATGCTAACCCAATATAACTATCCTTCATCCCACGGCGCCATGTCATACACCGACCATCCCTCCACTTCTTCCATTCAGTCCCAGGGCTAGCAAACAAAGAAAGGTATAGAGGCTGTTGGGACGGTATGCGTAAAACATATCCAAACCACCGAAGGCGTGTTTCCTGATGACTTCATTCATTCAATGGGGACTTCCATTGTGCCTAAACACACGCTGCCGTATCTCAGAATTACTTACATGGTGTTGCCACCGGATGCGAGCAATTCTAGGGAAAACACAGTCATCTCACATCATCCTCTCTAACAAAATTCTAGGTTAGATCTCTGTCCAACGAATCAAAGGCAGCCTTAACGTCAAGAAACACAATGATGGTTGGTCTGCAATACGTCTAGCGATAATAAAGTATTTGCCAGAGGATAAATACAGGATAAATGCATCGATGATCTGAAAGAAACCCGCCCTGGTCCTCGCGAATCGTCTCTTCATGAAACCTACTCACTGTTCATTCTAAATCTTACGTAAAAGAGCAACATAAAACTCTATATGCACAGTGAATACTGCTAATGAGATAACCAAAACTAGTGGTTCAAGTAGGAAAGTCATACCCAATCAGTATGTTATGAGTTATAACCGAGCTATAATCAATGAAGACTGCAGCATCAGTAGACTTTTGTTCACCAAGTTTTACAAAACGACCTGCGTTTTGAAATAATTGGCCATATTCGTAGCTCAGTTGGATGATCTTGGTTGTGTAATGTTCTCCGAGTTTCATGGTTTAATCATATGGTTTTGATTATCTTTCTAGACGAGATTATCATCATTAAGTTTGCGTTGATCTATCTTTTATTATTCCACTCTAAAACTGAGCTTTTTTAGCTCATCTTGTCTTTTAGCACCGTTTCAACAACATGTACTGATTCTTTTTTGGAGTCAAAATGGAACTGTGCCAGTTAGTCAATAGGATTGTACACAAAGAGGATCATTAGATCAGTGTCATATTCTTCATGTTTCAGGAAATTGAGACATATTTACGGAAAAGATAATGAAAAAATAGCTTTTTTTTTATAACTTCTATGCTATTCAAATATATCGGTTATTCTTACTGTCGAGGCTTTAGACACCATCGAAATGAAACTACACATGTCATTATTCCCTGAATGACAACAATGTGACTAGGAGTAAACCCCTATACAAATAATGACTCAGCTTAGTCAGTGATATTAAAATAAGGAAACATATACAAACTGAAAACCAAAAACCAAACTAAGTAGAGAAACTAAATATACCAGTGAACAAATTAAGTAGTTAGAAACCACTCGAGCCGACCTGTAGATTTCATTAGCCAAATCAAAGTGATATGAACACCAAACAGCCATTTCGCTCGTTTATGGCCCTGTTGATCAACAGTATACCCGGAAAAGTGCAGCCCATACATACTTTTGTGTCAGAGATCACACCTTATGATCTTGGTTGGGTGGTTTCCAACGGAAATCCTGCTGACACCACAGCTGAGTAGTTGAGAAAGTAATCAGCTGTGAAAAATGTCAACGTGAACCGTACAATTTGTAAATCATTTGCAGATTGCTTATCCTATTTTAAGTGAGAAGGTGAGCATAACCAGCAAATAAATAAAAAACAAATCAGCATACAAAAGCCAATACATACTCGTTTTGACTGTCCTCTGTTGAAAAAAGAATGAGCTATAAATTGTAAATTGCATGTATAACCATTTTTATGATTCTGTATGATAACATCACCATAATTATCAATCCATATTGTACCAACAATTAAGTTATGCACAACTGTTGTAACTTTAGTCCATGTATAATGTGAACCATCAGCGAATTGAAGATTAATTGTACCTGTTGGAGGAAATAAGATAACAAAGAAAGAAAAATTAATTAGTAAACGAGAGTAATAAAATGAAAAATAATGCGGAACAGTCAATAACTCATACATCTTATAACATGAATACACAACCAATTTTCAAGGCGATTCAAACTTACTGATGAGACTATCTGGAAAAGTTTGAAGTTGACCAACTTTTCTCAAAATTTTGAGACAGAGATGACTGAAGCTTCAGCTAAAAACTTAATTACCCAACCGGTTCTGAATTCTACTGACTAAGCCATGTGAGTAATATTGAGGTCACGCGAAGAGTACTACATAAGACAGATAAGTCAATTGATGAAATTGTGAACCTTCCTCGACTGAGGTGGCTTGGACATGTGCTGAGCATGCCAAGCAACCGCCTGCCTAGACGTGCAATGCTAAGAAGAGTTGGATTACGTTAGAACAGGTTTCAGGATGTCCAGGTTCATAAAGTCCTTGACTGTTGGGCTGGGCAGTATAGAAATGACAGACAGTTTGGTTGGGGTCCCTACTCAAGGTGGCATGAATCAGTGGTCGACCACTCTTAGCGACATGGTTGGAAATCGATCACAATGGTGCAGATGTTTTCACTCTTTGTTGTTTTCCAAGGCTTGATTGTTTTAACTAACCTTAATTTTTGAATTTCCCCCCTCGCATACACCTTTATTTATTTTGATACCTTTCCTATCTACTTGTTCTTTGTATAATATTATGAAGGGTAACAACTTGAACCAATGCAATTATGTGCAAGGTTCTCCGCTAATATTGTCTGTCTCCTATATCTGTCTGACTAGGCCATGAAATTTAAATATTGACCTAGTATCCTTCTCAATTCATTAAAAATAAAGCATCATGTTGGTGAGGGAGTAGTCTGATTTGAAGCTGTGCATCATTACTGTAGGAACGTGCTTTTCAGTTACAGAAGGTTACGAATTCAGTCACACACACACACATGAAAGACATACAGGAGATAAAATCACGTGAACCAACTAACTAACTAACTAACTAACTAACTAACTAACTAACTAACTAACTAACTAACTAACTAACTAACTAACTAACTAACTAACTAACTAACTAACTAACTAACTAACTAACTAACTAACTAACTAACTAACTAACTAACTAACTAACTAACTAACTAACTAACTAACTAACTAACTAACTAACTAACTAACTAACTAACTAACTAACTAACTAACTAACTAACTAACTAACTAACTAACTAACTAACTAACTAACTAACTAACTAACTAACTAACTAACTAACTAACTAACTAACTAACTAACTAACTAACTAACTAACTAACTAACTAACTAACTAACTAACTAACTAACTAACTAACTAACTAACTAACTAACTAACTAACTAACTAACTAACTAACTAACTAACTAACTAACTAACTAACTAACTAACTAACTAACTAACTAACTAACTAACTAACTAACTAACTAACTAACTAACTAACTAACTAACTAACTAACTAACTAACTAACTAACTAACTAACTAACTAACTAACTAACTAACTAACTAACTAACTAACTAACTAACTAACTAACTAACTAACTAACTAACTAACTAACTAACTAACTAACTAACTAACTAACTAACTAACTAACTAACTAACTAACTAACTAACTAACTAACTAACTAACTAACTAACTAACTAACTAACTAACTAACTAACTAACTAACTAACTAACTAACTAACTAACTAACTAACTAACTAACTAACTAACTAACTAACTAACTAACTAACTAACTAACTAACTAACTAACTAACTAACTAACTAACTAACTAACTAACTAACTAACTAACTAACTAACTAACTAACTAACTAACTAACTAACTAACTAACTAACTAACTAACTAACTAACTAACTAACTAACTAACTAACTAACTAACTAACTAACTAACTAACTAACTAACTAACTAACTAACTAACTAACTAACTAACTAACTAACTAACTAACTAACTAACTAACTAACTAACTAACTAACTAACTAACTAACTAACTAACTAACTAACTAACTAACTAACTAACTAACTAACTAACTAACTAACTAACTAACTAACTAACTAACTAACTAACTAACTAACTAACTAACTAACTAACTAACTAACTAACTAACTAACTAACTAACTAACTAACTAACTAACTAACTAACTAACTAACTAACTAACTAACTAACTAACTAACTAACTAACTAACTAACTAACTAACTAACTAACTAACTAACTAACTAACTAACTAACTAACTAACTAACTAACTAACTAACTAACTAACTAACTAACTAACTAACTAACTAACTAACTAACTAACTAACTAACTAACTAACTAACTAACTAACTAACTAACTAACTAACTAACTAACTAACTAACTAACTAACTAACTAACTAACTAACTAACTAACTAACTAACTAACTAACTAACTAACTAACTAACTAACTAACTAACTAACTAACTAACTAACTAACTAACTAACTAACTAACTAACTAACTAACTAACTAACTAACTAACTAACTAACTAACTAACTAACTAACTAACTAACTAACTAACTAACTAACTAACTAACTAACTAACTAACTAACTAACTAACTAACTAACTAACTAACTAACTAACTAACTAACTAACTAACTAACTAACTAACTAACTAACTAACTAACTAACTAACTAACTAACTAACTAACTAACTAACTAACTAACTAACTAACTAACTAACTAACTAACTAACTAACTAACTAACTAACTAACTAACTAACTAACTAACTAACTAACTAACTAACTAACTAACTAACTAACTAACTAACTAACTAACTAACTAACTAACTAACTAACTAACTAACTAACTAACTAACTAACTAACTAACTAACTAACTAACTAACTAACTAACTAACTAACTAACTAACTAACTAACTAACTAACTAACTAACTAACTAACTAACTAACTAACTAACTAACTAACTAACTAACTAACTAACTAACTAACTAACTAACTAACTAACTAACTAACTAACTAACTAACTAACTAACTAACTAACTAACTAACTAACTAACTAACTAACTAACTAACTAACTAACTAACTAACTAACTAACTAACTAACTAACTAACTAACTAACTAACTAACTAACTAACTAACTAACTAACTAACTAACTAACTAACTAACTAACTAACTCACTAACTCACTAACTCACTAACTCACTAACTCGCTAACTAACTAACTAACCAACTAACTAACTAAGTAAGTGAACAATGAACGAGATTTTTCATACAATATCAGTGAGGAGAAGAAGCGATATTTTGTTAAATTGAACTATATAGATAAAGAACTTAACAACTGAGTGCAATTGTGAAGTAGTTCAATTAGCCAAAGTTTAGGACAATACACCCACCAGTTGAGATTATAAAGTTGAGTAGAATTTCAAAATAATGTAGGTTTCAAGCAAAACGTGAAACTATATGAAGAATAGAAACGAAAATTAACTGGAGATGGGCATATTTCGATGAAGGCGATCGATGAGAAATGTTCGCTTCAGCGAGGAGTCCACAACTCAGGAAACTGAGATCAGTAGTTAACATTTGTGTCTGGTCACGATATAAAAATCCCCTTACAATTCCTACTGCAAAACATTTCATGTGGTGTGGTAGTTATGAGTTGAAAGTACGCAAAACACTGACTTATCATTAAGATCACGGCACCCTTAAAATACTACAGCGACATATTTTCTATACTTTACTACTGAAACATCTATACGTTTCCATAGCAGGAAGAATTGTTTGAAGGCCTCAATGCACTAATACATTTGTAGTTTCGGCATATCTGCCACTTTCTACTACGTTATAACAAAATAGACAACATTCGCATTCAATACCTGGCTTATAATAGGAGAATGAATACTAAATAAATGCAAACAATATTCAAAGTTCTATTAGTGATAACGACGAATAAGAAGAATTTTCAGGCTTAATTTCACATAGTCAAACTACAAATGTGATTCAATCCATCTCCAATTATAAGTTTGAACATGAAAAAAAAACATGGGAAGTTTTAACGATGCTTAGAGAAACCTAAGAGCAACTAAGCAACCGAAAAGTGAAATTTCTAGACTTCCTGTCTTCTTAGGACACACAAAAATTGGTATTTATAAAGATAAATCAATAGAATAAAACGACCAGACGTCCAAAAATGTTTTATACCATAAAATACCTGGAAAGTATGTACCATGATCTGAATCAAACTACTACCATAACTTTTATACAAATAACAATTTTACCTGGTCGAAAATACTTTTTGATAAGAATCCAGTCTCGCTTATTTATTTCAAAATAAACAGCTGTAACTAATAACTAAAAATATGTGAATCAGTACCATCAAGCAGAATAAATCCGTTTTGAATGCAAACTAAAATACATAGGATAAAAATGAGAATTTATGATACGTATCCATTGTTTGAATTTGACTCATGTTTCGATAGAGCGCTTCAGTGTCATCCTGTATACATTCAAAAAGGTATGAAACAATCCGACTGAACTACAGAAATAAAATTATTATCTGCTTATCAACTGCGATTCGTAGCTCAGTATGTAAAGCACCAAGCCACTGCCAGTATCCAGTATTATTATTATTATTATTATTAGTCCCTTGGGTTCCTAGTGGAACATAGGGCTTCAGTAGCACGCCTCCAGTGACCTCTGTTCTCTGAGATCTTTTGAACCTGGTCCCACGACAGCCCACAAGCTCTCATTTCCTCCTCGCACGACCTCCTCCATGTCACCCTCGGACGTCCAACTCGTCGCTTCCCATGGGGATTCCACTCGAGGGCCTGACGCGTGATGTCCTCAGTCGGCCTTCTCAGTGCATGGCCAATCCATCTCCACTTCTTCCTGCATATTTGTTGCGTGATAGGTTCTTGGTTGGTTCGTTCCCAGAGTTCCTTGTTGCTTATTCTTTCTGGCCATCTGATCTTCAGCAGC